CACACACACACACACACACACACACACACACACACACACACACACACACACACACACACACACAGGTCCTGCTCTGCCATTTCCTCGTGCGAGAGCGACGAGTATCAAGTGGCAGCACCAACTGACACATCAAACAGAGGTACTGCCCTGCAACATGCTCCCAAGCAGTCCACTTGTCCCCAATAACCGTGATGATACGCACTGATCCGCCCTCCATGCTCGCCGCTCCAACCTGTCACCGCTGTCACCGCTCCAACCTGCCCTCATCGTCACCCCCCCCCCCCCACTTCTCCTTCTCATACGTTCCGCCCGACACGTTCCATCCCACCCCACATGGCAGTGTGCAAGACGATCAAGGAGTGTGTCGCTGGCTTTGAGTTTGAGTTGGAAGCGCCAACCGCCACCTCAGATCGTGTTTGTCGCGGCGGCGCCGTGTGCCGGTCTGATGAGTACGAGACAAAGGCGCTCACACCTACCAGCAACCGCGAGTGCACAGCTCTGGAAGAGTGCGTTCCCAACGTCAACTACGAGACAGTGCCGCCGACACAAACGACAGACCGCACCTGCACCCCTGTCACCCCGTGCGAGGACACGGAATTTGAGCTCTACCCAGGCACCTTCACCAGTGACAGGTGCGTTGCATTGCTTGGGGCTGCATTGTGAGTAGCCTGTGCGTGTTGGTGCCCTGTCCGTACAGTGTAGTCATGCACTTGGTGCTTTGTCTTTGGTGCTCCAAGTGGGGGATTCCGTCGTTCGTTTTTGAGGACTAACCACTACTTCCCATGCATGTCCCTCAATTCTCATCCCCTCGGATCACTGTTCTCTCATTTTCATTTTCACAGGGTGTGTGCGCAAATCTCATCGTGCCGCGAGAACCAGTACATCCTGCGACCAGCCACGGCAACGAGTGACACTGGTGGGTAGTGCCGTTCTGAACGTTCTTTCATCACCACCTACGGTTACATGCGCAAGCTTCATGCCATCACTCACACAATCATACACCAATTGCACTTTCCACTTACGCTTACTCATCCTTGTTTCTCATTCCTGCTTCCTCCTCCTCTTCCTCATCTTCTTCCCCCTTTCCCCTTGTTGCAGTGTGCAACGCCGTGGACACGTGCGCTGTTGTGTGCCGCGATTTTCAAATCGACGGCACGGGCGGCTCGTGCTCGTGCGGTATTTCCCGCTGCACCGCCTGTCGTATCGATTTGGCGGAGCGCGTGTGTGTGCAGTGCAACGAAGACAACGTTGTGTTCGGTGCGTTTCTGATGCAATGCCGGCGCTTCCCCTGCGAATGTCCTGCTGCGCTTTGGTGTTGCCCTTTGATGCCGTACCTGAATCAGCTTGCCTTTTCCCCTCCAGCTCTCCTGTGTGTGCTTCGTCCCCCGCTCACCTCCACATTCACACACACAACACACAACACACACACACACACACACACACATACACACACACACAATTTGCCTTCCCCAATAGACGGCATCTGCCTCTCGTCGTGCCCTGAGGGGTACACCGCGTCACCCCCGGACCTGTCCCCTGCGCGCTTCTGCGTTCCCATTGGCGCCAACGCCACTGCCGAGCCGCTCCTCGACACCCAGTTTGAAGTCCTCCCGCCAACACCAACTTCGAACCGAGGTGCGCGCACGTGTGCGTGTGTGTGTGTTTATGTGTGCTTGTGCGTGTGTGTGCTTGTGCGTGTGTTTGTATGTATGTGAGTGAGAGAGTGTGTGCTTGTGTGTTCAGTCTGACCCGCCCATCTCCTCTGACCCACTCGCCCCCCCCCCCACCCCTACGCCATTCGTCTCCCACCCCTTCCATCCCTCTTGCCACTTGGTCCCACACCTCTCACCTTTGTTTCTGCATCACCACGGCAGAGTGCGAGGAGATCCGAGACTGCGAAGCGGACGAGTTTGAAGCGCTACCGCCGACTGCAACGAGCGACCGCCTGTGCCAGCGCATTCGCAACTGCACGCAAACACAATGGCAGACGGCGCCACCAACAGCAACGTCAGACAGGCAGTGCAAGCAGCTGACTACCTGCCGAAGCGGCATCTCAACAGAGGCCATTGCGCCAACGCCCACATCCGACCGCGTGTGTCGCCGCTGCTCCACCTGCCCCGATGACTCGCACGTTGATGAGGTGTGCACCATCACCTCAGACACGGTCTGCGCCAACTGCACCGCGTGCGTGCCTGGCGAAGAGTACATGCTGCGGCCCTGCCAAGTTGCCACCGACACCCTCTGTGTCCCGTGTCAACAGTGCGTCGCCGGCGAAACCTACCAAGCGCAGGTGCGGCTTGCTTCGTGTGTATGCGTGTGCGTGTGCGTGTGCGTGTGCGTGTGCGTGTGCTTGTGTGTGTGCATGTGCGTGTGCCTGTGCCTGTGCGTGTGTGTGTGCGTGTGCATGTTCGTTTACAGTATCGAGTACACACACGGACACTGTCTTCGTTTGGCCCTCCTCCTGTCCCTCTGTTCCACCCCACTTTCCTCACATTCCTCACATTCCACCTCACCTGCTTCACCCAACGCGTTGCGCAACGTTCTCTACCCCCACGTTCTCTGTTCCCATTCCAACAACATCAGCTGTGCTATGGCGACCAAGATACGACGTGTGTCGAATGCGCCGAGTGCGGTGCTGACGAGTATCAGGTGGCCGCGTGCACGCCCTTGTCCAACACAGAGTGCTCCCCTCTGACCACGTGCCGGCCGGACGAGTACGAGACGCGTGCCCCGACTGCCACCACCAACCGCGAGTGCAAGGCCATCACCACGTGCGAGCAAGACGAGTACAGGACTGTGCGTGCAACCGCTACGAGTGATGCCGAGTGCCGCTCGCTCACAGCGTGCAGGGATGAGCAGTTTGTTGTGGCCAGGCCCACGCCAACCACCGATCGCGTGTGTCGCAACTGCACAGCATGCAATTCACGTGCGGAATATGAGCGCCTGTCCTGCTCCTCCATTCGCGACACTGTGTGTGCTCCAATCTCCAATTGCACTGCACGTTGCGAGTTTGACAACACCGCCCAGTACTGCAAGGTGTGTACAATCTGTGCGCTATATATGTGTGTGCGTGCGTGTGTGCGTGCGTGTGTGCGTGTGCGTGCCTTCGTATGCGTGTGTGTGTGTGTGTGCGTGTGTGCACATACGTGTGCGTTTGTTCGTGTGTGCGTGTGTGCGTGTGCACATGTGCATGCGTTTGTATATGCCTCATCCAAGCATCCCAGTCACACGCTGACACACGCCGACACACGTTCACCTTGTTCCCCCCCCCCCGACACAAACAACAAAACAAAACAACAACAATTCTCACATGTTGACCTCTCTCCAATCTCCCAACACCCTCTCTTCAACCAATCACGTCTTGGTTACCAGCTGGCTGGCTCAGTCACGCCGTGCGAGGCGTTTTGGACTGCAGACGATTGTCCGCTGGACCGATGCGACTTTGATCCCTCAGACCCGATCCTGCCGTGCACCACAAAGCCAGATGACGGCAGCGGTCAGGAGCCCATCCCCGTCGGCTCACAGGCACGTGACCGCACGCTGGCCTGCATAGTGCACTGTTTGGGCATGCGTGCGTGTGTTTATGCACGTGTATGTGCATGTACGTGTGCGTGTAACCAGCAGCGATCAGCAATCAATTCTCCTCTCCTCTCCTCACCCCAACACACACACACACACACACACAACCAAATGCGTCTGATGTGCAGGACTGCTCGTTGCTGACCATGCCCTTCTGCAAAGGCGCGTGCGTGTGGGACACCGACACGCTGACTTGCCGCGTGCGCGCGTGCAATGACTTTGAGAAGGCGAGCGACTGCGTGGCTGCGGGGTGCGTGTACGAGCCAAGCGTTGGCTACTGCCGCAACGAGGGCGAGCAGGTGCCGTGCAGCCGCTACTTCACCGCAGACCTGTGCCAGACACAAGCGCGCTGTGCGTTCGACACAACAGCGAGCGTGTGCTACCCTGCTGATGGCACGCCACCGTGCTCGGCCTTTACCATGCTTGGTGCAGACGCGTGCCCGCTCTCCTTTTGCGAGTACGACGCACGCGCAAGTGTATGCAAGGAGAAGGGCGAGCTCACGCCCTGCAGCCTGTACCCGACACGCGACACGTGCTCTGTGATTGGGACGGAGTACGAGGTGGCCCCGGCAACGGCAACAACAGACGCCGTGTGCAAGCGCGCAACAGAGTGCACCGACACCCAGTATGAGCGGCTGGAGCTGCTGCCCATGCGGGACCGCCTGTGCCTCAACCTCACCGTGTGCGCAGAGAACGAGTACGAGACGCGCGCGCCAACAGCAACATCCAACCGCCGCTGCATGGCCATCACCACGTGCGATGCAGACGAGTACGTGTCCACGCCGCCAACAGCGACCAGCGACGCAAACTGCTCTGCCATCACCCCGTGCACGTTCAAGGAGGGTTTGCCTGGCGAGACGTACGAGATTGCGCCACCAGGGCCATCGTCTAATGCACAATGTCTGCCCATCTCATCTTGCCGCTCAGACGAATACGAGGAGTTGCCTCCAACGTTTACCACAAACAGAGGTGCGATGCAGGTGACACTGTTGTACATTGGTGTGTGTGTGTGTGTGTGTGTATGTCTCTTGTGCGTGTTATTTGTGTGTGTGTACGTCTCTTGTGTGCGTGTTATTTGTGTGTATGTGTGTGTTGAGCACGGTGCCCACCCCACTCACACCCACCCGCACCCGCTGACGCCCCTAACGCCCCTCACGGCCCCCCTCCTCCTCCCAAACTAATCTCTGCCACCCTGGCTTCGTTTTCCTTGGCCACAGTGTGCCTGCGCGTGACCAACTGCAGCGTGCTGGTGGAGCAGTACGAGTCAATCCCCGCGACTGCAACATCAAACGCCGTGTGCGCAAACCTGACAGCGTGCACACCAAGCGAGTTTGTTTCCGTGCGTCACACCGCCACCACGGACCGCGAGTGCGACGAGCTGAGCACGTGCGCGGGGGACCAGTACGAGGAGAGCGCCCCAGTTGCGGGCACACGGTACTACGTTGAAGACCGCGTGTGCCGCAACATCACACAGTGCGACTACGACACAGAGTACCTCTTGCAACCGGCGACCCCAACCTCCAACGCCGTCTGCGATCCCATCACGCCCTGTCCAAATGAGGACGGCTTGTACCAGAGCACGCCGCCAACCAACACCTCCGATGCGCAGTGCGCGCCCATCAAGCAGTGCGCTGAGGACGAGCGCGAGCTTTTGCCGCCAACACCGACGTCCAACCGCGTGTGCGACCTGGAGGGGGTCGTGCAGTCACAGCTGCGCATCACGGGCCTCACCCCACAGGACTTTGACAACAACACGGCGCTGGTTGACGGCTTCAAGGCCGCCGTTGCCGCGGTTGCCGGGCGCAGCAGTCCGCACCTCGACACGACACGCGAAGACATTGCCATTCTCTCCATCACTGCCGGCAGTGCCGTCATCCACTTCACCGTCGCGGTGCCCGTCTCCGCCGCGCAGCTGGTGTTTGAGAGCCTGCAGAACTACGACGCCGTGCTGGCTGAGCTCTTGCGCAACCCGCTGTTTGAAGGCGTCACTGTCACGGATATTGTCTGCGATCCAGACACGGAGTACGAGGTTGTGCTTGACATTGGATTTGGCCTCAAGGCGTGTGCCCCAATCTCCGTCTGCAACACCACAGACGTGCTTGCAGATCGCATGGGCTTTTTCGACACGACAACATCCACAACCACAACAACCACAACCACCACCACAACCTCCACCACCACCTCCACCACGACGACGACGACGACCATTATCGTGACGACAACCACAACCGCGTCCACCACTCCTGGCAGCGGCGATGGCCAGCCCTTCACAGCTGGCAGCAGCACAGCGAGCACACGCAGAAGCACGCTGCCATCAACAACCACGACAAGCATGACCCCATTCCCTGTTGAAATCACCACGACCCAGCCGCAGCTCACCAGCACCACCAGCACCACCGCTGCCGCCGCCACGACAACGACGACGGTGTCGCCGTTGCTGGCGCTGCTCGACAGTCCATATCTGCAGTACGAGGCGGCAATGCCCACCGCCACCTCTGATCGCATGTGCCGCGCTGTCACCGTGTGCAACGCCACCCAATACGAGGCGCAGCCGCCAACAGCCACGTCAAACCGAATCTGCGAAAGCCTCAGGTGATGGTGCTGGCAGTTGCGGGAGTTGGGAGTTTGGGAGTTGGTGGACTTGATTGACGTGGCTCCTCTTGTGTGCGCGCGCACGCGCGCGCGCGCGCGCGTGTGTGTGTGTTTTGGTGCTGGTGCACATATGTGCACGTACAGGCGCACACATGCGCATTTATGTGTATGACGGATGCAAATGTTGCCTTCATGCATGACTTGCCTGCGAAGTCAGTTCACGTTGACAGCATCGCTCACCCCCTTTCATTCTCCCCCATTTCCACAATCCCCCTACCTCCTCCCCTTCTTCCTCTGTTCAACTTCACAACATCAGGGTGTGTGCGGATGACGAGTACGAGACGCGGGCGCCGACAGCAACTTCCGACCGCGAGTGCAATCTGCTGCGTGTGTGCATGGACGATGAATATGAGGTTGTGGCTGCAACCACAACGAGCGATCGCTGGTGCGATACCCTCACCACATGCCAGGAGCGCGTGTCATATGAGTCGGTTCCACCCACGCCAACCAGCAACCGCAACTGCTCTGCGTGCAAGACGTGCGACCTGGACGTGGAGTTTATCAAGCAGCCGTGCACCGTCCTGAGCAACACGGAGTGCGACGAGCTCACCACGTGCAACGCCACATCGTTTGAGGCGGTTGCGCCGACGCCGAGCACAAACCGCGAGTGCCAGCTCATTGCCACGTGCGATTTCAGCGTCCAGTATGAGACGCGGGCGCCGACAGCGACCTCTGATCGCACATGCGCGCCGCTCGACGTGTGTACGCCAGCGGAGTTTGAAGCGCGCGCGCCAACGGCCACAAGCAACCGCCTGTGCAACACCACCGCGGTGTGCACGGCCGCACAGTACGAGACGCAGGCGCCAACACCAACAACCGACCGCGTGTGCGTGGCGCTGGACGTGTGCGACCCAGGCACCCAATATGAGGACGTGGTACCAACGCCAACCTCCGACCGGCTGTGCTTGCCGCTGCGCGTGTGCACCGATGGCGCAGAGTACGAGGAAGTGCCACCGACCGCAACCACAAACAGGGAGTGTCTGCCGATTGAGCCGTGCGACTCTGGCCAGTTCATCGACGTCCCCGCCACGCCCACGTCAAACCGCGTGTGCGCACAGTGCTCGCCGTGCCCGGAGCGCATCGAGACGCCATGCAACGCGACGCACAACACGGTGTGTGCCGGCTGCTCCACATGCCGGGACGACCAGTTTGAGAGCGCAGCGTGTACGCTGCTGACAGACACGCTGTGTGAGGACTGCACACCGTGCACCGAAGGGGAGACGTACGAAGACACGCCGTGCACTGCGTTTGATGACCGGCTGTGTCTGCCGTGCAAACAGTGCACTATTCTGCAGTACCAAACTGCGGCGTGCACGCTGACATCCAACACAGCGTGCGCGGAGCTGGCAGTGTGCGACCCGGAGACGCAGTATCAGCTGCTGCCGCCGACACCGACGACAAACCGGCTGTGCGACGACTATCAGCCATGCAACTTGGACGACTACTATGTTGTTGTCGAGGGCACGGCCACCAGCGACCGCGAGTGCCAGCTGCTGCGCGTGTGCAGTGCGCTCGAGTACGAGAGCGTGCCCAAGACGCGCACGTCCAACAGGGAGTGCACGGAGCTTGAGCAGTGTACCTCGGACGAGTACGAGAAGGTGGCGCCAACGGCAACGAGCGATCGTCAGTGCGACCTCATCACGGAATGTGGTGCTGGTCAATACGTGCGTGCACCGGCCACGCCCACGTCCAACACGGATTGTGGCGACGTGACGCCGTGTGGTGTTGATGAGTACATCAAGGTCCCCGCCACCGCCACCAGCGACAACACGTGCGATGAGCTTCGCGTGTGCACGAGTGGCGAGTACGAGACAGTGGCTCCAACGCTCACCACCAATCGCGAGTGCGACACCATCACCCCAACCTGCGAAGTTGGCCAATACCAGCAAGGTGTGTGGCGTGTTGTGTGTCTTTGGGGGGGGGGGTGTGTGGAGATGTGTGTGTGTGTGTGTGTGAATGTGCGGGTGTGAATGTGTGTGAGGGTTTTGTGTGTGTGTGTGTGTGTGCGTACATGTCGTTTTCAATTCTGCTTTTTATGTCTTCGCTCTGCTCTCAACAACTGTTCTGTTTGCATGTGCAGCCGCGCCCACGGCCACTTCGGATCGCATGTGCGATGACATTTCATCATGCCAGCGCGACCAGTTTGAAGTTGTTCCACCAGGGCCCACCAACAACAGAGGTGTGTCGTGCATATGATCTGTGTGTGTTTGTGTCTGTGTGTGTGTGTGCGCAGCGTTTGTAGGTTGGTGTGTGTGTTTATGTACGTGTGTGTGTTTGTGCACGTGTGTGTGTATGTGGTGCCACAGCTGTCGTACTTACCGCTTCACCGGTGCGCTGCCTGACTCCGTGTGCCCACCTTGCTTGTTGATGGATTGTTCCTGCTGCTGCAGTGTGTGATGACTTCCGCGTTTGCGGTCAAGAGCAGTATGAGCTCTTGCCGGGCACGCTCTCCACAGACAGGTGTGTGAGTATGACCACGGTTGTCTGTGTCCAGTGAGTGAGTGAATGCACATGCGCGTATGCGAGGTGCAGGTGCACGGATATGCGCGTGCCAATGTGCCTGTTGCGTCAGGCAATCGCTTGCGCTGAAAGACTCAACTGAAAACCTCTTGTTTTGTTTGGCGCACGTGCGTGTTTTTCCTTTCACCACAGGGTGTGTGCAAACGCGACGCAATGCCGCACTGAGCGGCCACAAGTCGTGACAGATTTGTGCTCAACCTGCAGGTCTTCTCTTCCAGGTGCGGATGTTGTGTTGTGTTTGTTTGTTTGTGTGTTATCTGTTGTGCTGTGGTTGTGGGCGAGTGTTTGTGTGTTACCTGTTGTGTTGTGTTGTGTTGTGTTGTGTTGTGTTGTGTTGTGTTGTGTTGTGTTGTGTTGTGTGTGTGTGTGTTTGTTGAACTGCTGCTCATCTTATCACAACAGCCGTTCGCACGCGTTACTCCTCGCCCGCATTCTCTTTTCCACCTCATGCCTTTCTTCCTTCCAACCTGCCACAACCACATACATCTTGTCTCCTCAACTCGTGTATCTTTTGCGCATGTGCGACAGACGGGCGCGATTTGACCGCTGCGTGCATGTCAGCGCTGATTCAGGCCAATGTGTGCGGTAGTGAGACTGTGTTTGACGACACAGAGTACAATGCGCGGCCACACTGCTCGTCCTGCCGCCAGCTAGGCCTCAGCTCCATCACCTGCCAATCTGTACGTCTTCCTGTGACACGGAGGGTTTGTTGTGTGTTCAGGGACACGGGAATGTGTGTTGCCTGCTTGTTTGCTTCATCCTGCTGACGCCACCTTCACACACCTTCACACACACACACATCTTCACACACCTTCGCACACTTTCACACACACACACATCTTCACACACCTTCACACACCTTCACACACGCACCTTCACACACACACACACACACATCGCTCTAGGATCTCATGTCGTGGGTGCGGCCGGTGTGTGCTGATCCGTGGGTGGATTACGTGTCTGTATCGCTCACCGCCACAACGGACAGAGGTACATGCAGTGTGCACAACGTGTGCAACGTGTTACTTACTCCGGCTACATCATGCCTTATACATGCGTTGCCCTTTTCTACTTCTGCCTCACATGTGACGCCGCTGCTGCTGCTGTTGCTGCCGCTGCTGTTGCTGTTGTTGTTGATTTTGTGTGCGATTGCGCCACCCCCGCCCAACAGAGTGCAAACCTTTGACGGTGTGCAATTCCACGCAGACGGAAGTCATTCCGCCCACAACCACCACCGATCGATGTATGTATGGGTGCATGTGCACGGTGACAAGCGTTGTGACACTATTGTTGTGTGGGTGCTTCTTGATTCCTTGTCTTTGATGGTGTCATTTCCATGCATGTATGCGTGCGTGTTTGTGCGTGTGTGCTCTCACACATGTGTCTTCTTCCCTTTCTTGAACCGCACTAACCCCTCTTGCCGTGTCGCTCCCGCCTGACACACTGTACACTTGTGCGTGCTTGGCAGTGTGCGCGGCGCGGCGTGTGACAACGCCTTCACCGCCGACGGTTGTGGAGGGATCAAGCAGCACTGCCAGCATCAGTGACGTGTGGATTTACACCATTGTCGCTCTCGCTGCCCTCCTCATCCTCGTCCTCATTGTCATCGCCTATCGCAGACACGAGAGGGTGAGCCAGCGGACGTGCTTTTGTGTGTGTGTGTGTGTGCGTGTGTGCGTGTGTGCGTGTGCGTGTGTGCGTGTGCGTGTGTGTGTGTGTGTGTAAACGTGTGAGTGAGTGCGTGTAAGCGTGTGTGTGAGTGAGTGCGTGTACGCGGCCCCCCGGCGCATGTGGGTAGGCGTGTGCGTGGTATATTTCCTTGTTGACTGCGCATACGTTTGTTGCACCTTCTCATCATGCGTGCTGGCACATTTGCACACCACAGACTGAGTCACACGCAGTGCAACCACTCCAGGATTTGGAAGGAACGCCCTCTTACCCAGCGAGCCCGGCGAGAAAGCCAGACCCATGGTGGGCACAAGCAACACACACACACACACACACACACACACACACACACACACACACACACACACACACACACACACACACACACACACACACACACACACACACACACACAAGACAACACCCTCAGTTGGCTCATGGCACCGACACCCATTGTTGCTGCTGTTGTTGTTCCTTGTTACGGCAGGGGCGAAACGGACTCACTTGCCGGCATCCAGTCGACATATCTGGGACCAAACCCGGCGTGGGTGGCAAACGCAACGTTCCGTGGTGATGACGCCGCGCAAGCAACACCGCTCTCGCCAACCAACGCAACGCTTGGCATGTATGGTGAGCCGATTGTGATGGAACAGACGTCCACGCCGCCGCCCTCCAGCACCGCAACAGCAACGCCGACCACAACGGCAGCGGCGGTAACCACAGCACCTGCGCCGGCACAGCAGCAGAAAGAGCAAGAGCAAGAGCAAGAGCCATTGCAGCAGCAGCAGCAACAGGCAGCGAGCATGGAAGAGGGGTTTGCACCCAGCCGCCCCATTGTTGCGTTTGCACCACCACCAGCGTCCACCCCTCCTGTTGACACCGCCAACGCCAACGATGATGAGGATGATGACGATGATGACGATGATGACGACTACCTGTCGGCAGCGGCTGCAGCGGCACAACAACAACAACAACAACAACAACAGCAGCAGCAACAGCAGCAGCCGCATCCTGCTGCTGTTTCTCCGAGTGATGTGGACGTACAGTTCTCAGAGAACGACCTGCCTGCACCTGTGCTGGTGCGACCGGCATCATCAACGCCACACCACGAGCCACAGCCGCAACAGGAACAGGAACAGCCGCAACAACAACAGCAGCAGCAGCAGCAAGGTGCTCAGAGCACGGATGATGTGTTGGCGCGGTATGGGGTGACGCCGCAGTATGAGTATGGTGACGGGGAGTACCCGCGGTTCCAGGCAGAGTCATCGGCCCGGGACACGCGATCGTTCGCCCTCGACGATCCAAACGCAGAGGTGACATGACACGTGCCACATGTGTGTGGATGTGTGTGTGCGTGTGTTTGTGAGTCTGTTTGTGCGTGTGTCTGTGTGTGTGTGTGTGTGTGTGTGCGTGCGTGCGTGCGTGCGTGCGTGCGTGTGTGTATGTGATGGCGTTGACTGTCACTTTGGTTGCGTCCCACCCCCCCCCCCAGTGCCCTCCCCTTCGTGTTGTTCCTCACCACCGTGCTGTCCGCCACCCCGGACGTGCAGGTTGTCGAGGCACCATCAACACCGCCGCTGCGGTCGCGCAGTGCGTCCACATCGTCGTCTGGGCGGCGGGCCAGCTTCCTCGGCCGCAGACGCAACAGTCGGTCCTCAACACGGCGCAACTCAACTGCTGAGCTCGACTCACACTTGTAGAAGGAGATGATGAGTGAGAGAGAGAGTGTGTGTGTGGGGAGGTACTGCTTGGTGTGCTTTTCCCTTGCGTCTTTGCTGTTCTTGTGTTATCTGCGACGAAAAGTGCTGGCTGACCCGCGTGCTGTCCATGCATGCTTGCTACGTGTTCGTGGAAGGAGGTGTGCCATGGTAGGGAGATGGAAGGAAGGAAGAGGAGTGCTGTGCTGTGTTATGAGACATTACATTACACCGTTGACTGCTTGTTGGCTGCTTTATGCGGTTTGATTCGGAGGTGAGGGGGGGGAGTAAGGGGAAGGGTATGATGCCACGCATGTGGTGGTGTGATGATGTGACATGATGTGTCCACAAAACAAAACAACAAGCAAGAAGCAAGCAAGCAAGCAGTGTGCGTGCTCGGTCGTTGCATTTCCGTGCACACACAAAAACCAAGAAGAAGCAAAGAAGCAACAAGTCAGCCAAGATGCAGTTTGATTGGCTGTTGCGCGGTGGTGCGCGGGCGGAGAGGGAGGCACGGGACCTTTCGTTCCTGCAGCACTACCAGCGCCCTGCTCGCGGGTCCACGCGCATGAAGGTCGCCTCCCCCTTTCTGGCATCCCCTTTCACACAACAACAACAGCAGCCGCGTGTCACGTGTGGTCGCACATGCACGCCGCACACGCGCCACCAACTCAAGGACAAGATTGCCCTCTTCACAGAGATGCTTCGAGAGTGAGTCGTGCGCTTGTGCGTGTGTGTGTGTGTGTGTGTGTGTGTGTGTGTGTGTGTGTCTGTGTGTGTGTGTGTGTGTGAGGACACAACTCATTCCCTCATCCGGTTCTTCCACACATGCACACATACATGCACACATGCATGCACACATACATGCACACATGCATGCACACGTGCACACATGTACACACACACATGCAGCCCATCTGTTGAGCAGCTGCCTGACAAGGGAGAGAAGCTGCATCGCAAGCTGGCAAAGTACAGAGCCGAGCTGGCCAAGTTGGACAAGCAGGCCAACCAACAGAGTCAGGGTGGCAATGTGCCACCAGCGTCACACACCACAGGTCAGCTCGAGTCGTTTGCGTCCCTGGCATCGGCGGCTGTGACCATCAAGGAGTCCACGGCACCACGCCGCACTACCACTAACAACACAGCAAGCAGCAACAGGAGCGGTCCAGCCTGGCGGCAGCGGCAGCGCAACACCAACAACAATGAGGAGGAGGATCATGTCATGGATGAAGAGGATGTGGACTCTGATGACTATGACGACGACGACGACAGCAACAACAACAACAACAACAACAACAACACCAACAACAACACCAACAACAACACCAACATCAACAGCGGTGGCGTTGGTGATGAAGAAGCCAGCGTTGCACGGCGCGCACAGCAACCGGCAAACAGAACCGAGGCACCACCAGCTGGCAAGGAGGGTGAAGCGAGTGAGCACAGGAGATCTCACGCGGGCGGCGACACGGACGTGCTGCTGGATACAGAGCAGGTGCTGCAGATGAGCGACGATGCATTGGAGGAGCTGCTCGTCTCGCGCATGTGTGGGCTGCGGATGCAAGGTGGCGATGACGGCCGTGATGGCAGTGATGGCAGTGATGGTGTTGGTGTTGGTGGTGGCAGCCATGGTGACAACAGCGGTACGCAACAACAGGGGGAAAAGGCAAGGACCGTGGCGGTTGATGGTGGACAGACACAGGCTGACAATGGTGTGGATGGGACCTCCAGCACGCGCGCTGCGGGTGTAGTTGTTCGGGAGCGTGATATCCGCCACCGCCCTGTAAGTGAGGGGCAGCGCGGCCGTACGAAGGAGCTCTCTCTCGTGCAGCTCACGCGGTTGCAGGCACAGGTTGAGCTCGACAGGCGGGTACGTCCATATGCTGTGTATGTGTGTGTGTGTGTGTGTGTGTGTGTGTGTGTGTGTGTGTGTGTGTGTGTGTGTGTGTGTGTGTGTGTGTGTGTGTGTGTGTGTTGGGTACTTAGGCGTGCCCATGCCGGCTTTGCTTTCATCCCCTTTTGTTTCGATCTTTCACTCCACCCCCTTCTCTTCTTGTCTCATCACTGTGACAGGAGGCGCGACTCCAGGCCATGCTGCAGGAGTAACACGCACGCACACACACGCACACACACACGCCCCCCCCACACACACACAGACACACAATCGCACACACTCTCCCTCTGTCTCAAACAGGCATGACTGGTTGTTCGCTTGTTTGCTTGATGTATTGGATGGTGCTGCTGAGACGAGAATAACCAGACTGGACAGGCGTGCGCATATGTGTGTGTGTGTGTGTTGGCGTGCGACTGTGCGCGCGGGTCCAAATAGTCACGCACGAGTGAACGAACGACGGACACAAAAGACGCGCGCTGGCAGCAGTGATGGCGATCATTCATTGATGTGTGTGTGTGTGTGTGTGTGTGTGTGAGTGTGTGAAGGCATGCACGCATGTGTGTGTGTGTGTGTGCGTATGCGTGGGCATGTGTAGTTGTGGTGCTGCGGGCCGTCGTTCGTTTCTCAGCGCTGCCACCACGGCCGCGTGTCGCGTGGACACGACAGCGTGGGGAAGCTTGTCCCGTTCTTCAGCTGTACGGCAGCGGCAACGCAGGCGAGGGCATGCGAGCGGGAACCGTGAGTTGGAACCGTGTGCGCTTGGGGCAGGAGGGGCAAGCAGCCGACAGCAAAGCACAAATTACGCAAGCAACATAAACACAGGGGAAAGGGTAACAGCCTGCCTCCCCTTTCACACACACACACACACACACACACACACACACACACACACACACACACACACACACACACACACAGACCTGGATATCGTATGGGAGCTCGAGGTCGTAGAAGACGTTGTCGAGGTACCACTTGAACGACTTACAGCCGAGCTGCTGCCGCAACTGCTTGCGCTGCGACACATCGCCATAGCCGTACTTGCGGTTGTGGGTAACGGCGTAGTACACGTCCTTGTACTCGTCCATCCACACCTCTGCAACCCGGTTCAGGTTCCGCGCAATCGTTTCCTGATGGGCGCATCAAGTGGGTGTAGTGTGGTGAAATGAGGTGACGTGGGGTAAGGCAAAGTGATGCATGCTTGTTGTGTGATGGTGTGAGCTACAGCAATGCACACACACAGACACACACAGACACACAGACACACAGACACACAGACACACACACTGATGACAGGAAACGACTTGCCCACGCTTCAAACTTCAGCAGTGAATGCGTTGCGCGATCCCTCCCCCCCCCACACACACACACATGCACATGCACACACACACATGCATGCGCGCTTGCCATCGCCGTACCTGTGGGTCCTTGGTCTTGAACTCGTATGGGGTCTTCTTACGGAAGACGTGTGCAACGTGGGAGCACGGCAGGGCCTCGATGCGCCCGCCACACGCCCACACGCGCATGGACATCTCAATGTTCTCGCCGCCCCACGTTTCCATGCCCATGTCGTACGCGCCAACCTCGAAGAAGTACTTGCGGTCCATGGCAAACAGGCCACCCGCCATGGCCGGGCTGGCAAACGGGTCCGTGTCATCGGGGCGCCCGCGCTTGTCGTCTGCGGTGAGCTGCTTCCACTTGAAGACGAGCGACCAGTCGAAGATGCCGCGCTCCAGCAGGCCCGTGCGGTGCTCCCACGTCTCGTAGTCGATGGCATCGATGATGGGCATGGCCACCGTCTTGCGGTTGCGGCGGATGCGGTCGAGCAGCGGCTCCAGCCACCCGTCGTTCACCTCGCAGTGGCTGTCGAGGTACACGAGCACGTCGCCACGCGCCTGCTGGGCGCCGTACACCTTGGCACGGATGAGCCCGGAGCGCTCCGGCAGGCGGATGACGCGCGTCTTGGGGATGCCGGCAACCTCCTGGTCCAGCGGGTAGCCGAGGTGGGGCATGGAGCTGTGGTCGTCCACGAGCAGGATCTCCTTGATGAGGGACCTGGGCGAGCGGTCGAGGACGCTCCAGACCGTGCGCAGCAGCGTGGACCGCGCCTCGTTGTAGAAGATCAAGATGACGGAGACGGTGGGCAGCTCGGAGAGCGGGTAGTACTTCTTGTGCAGGCACTCCACGGGCCTGGTGTCGTACGCGCGGCGGTGGAGTGACAGGCGGTCGCTGATCCACTGGTTGAACTGGTTGTTCTTGTACCCCTCGTTGTACTCCTTGATGTCTTGCTTGGACTTCTTCTTGGTGAGGAGGGACTGGCGCAGGCCCTCGTCGCGCAGCACCGCCTGGTATTTCTCCTGCGTCGGCATGGAGATTTGGGTCAGCCCTTCCAGCGGGATCTGGCGCTCACCGCCGAGCGCGTCTCCGACCAGAAACAGGGCGACCAGTGCCGCCAGCGCCGCCACACCCATGCCCACTTTCTTCAACAGCTCCTTTTGCCTTTGCTTGCGCGCACGCTCCTTCTTCTTCGCCAGCGGATCAACTGCACCGGAACCGTTGCTCTTCTTCCCCACGCCAGCAGCGCCTTTCTTGCCCTTGGCCATAAGTAGGCGTGGAGCAAAAGAATGCGCCTGTGTCTCTCTGTGCGGTTGTGCGACTAAACAGGTACGTGGTCGTGTGGTCGTGCGGTCGTGTGGTCGTGCGTGTGAGTCGCTTGGTGGGCTTGTTCGAGAGTGCGACGATAATGTGAGTGACATGAGAGCCAACCAACCAACGAACAAACGAGCAGTGGTTGTAGAAAATTGGCCTATATCTTCATTGAACTTTCGGTTGCTGCGGACGTGGCGCTGCAACGGAAATGGCCACACCTGCACGCACGCTGGCTTGTGGTGTTGCGGTGTGTTGGTGTGCGTGTCTTGTCGTGTGTTGTGATGTGATGTGGTGTGGTGTCTCATTGTCGCTTCGTGTTTTGTGTTCTTGCCTTGTGTGGCCCAAGCGCAGCGCTGTTGTCAGTTCATTCACGGGCAAGTTCACTCGTTCATTCGTTTATTCATTCACAGACAAGCAACAGCAAGCAAGAAGCGAGGTGGCATTGGTGCTGCAAGGATGAGACACACGCACTGACACACACACACACACACTTACAGAGGCACATACACATACAGAGGCACAGACACACCCACAAGGACACACAGACACAAGACACACACACACACATACAGACAGACAGATGTTCGTGTCATGAATACGCAGGCTTCTTCGTTTGATGTCCTGCACCGCCGCCACCAGTTACGCTGTCGCTGTCATCCTGTTGCCTCTTCGCCGAGGGCCGTGCACCCGGCATCGCATACTGCATTCGCACACGCTCCTGTCGCGGTGGTGGCTGTAGCTGTTGTTGCTGCTGCTGCTGGTACGGTGGCGGTGGCATCATCGGCATCTGCATCGGCGCACCATAGCCAGCACCATAACCGGGACCGTAGCTGGAACCATAGCCGCCCTGCCACCCACCCGGTGGCGGCGGGCCGGCAGCCGTCATCGGCGCCGCGCCAAGCAATGACCCTTGTTGTTGTTGTTGCTGTTGCTGTTGCTGTTGTTGTGGTGGGGGTTGTGGTGGGTATTGCTGCTGTGTCGGTGGGCGCATGACGGGCGGCGCTGCGGGCATCAGGCCCATACCAAAGGCGGGCCGCGGTGTCGGCAGTGGCGCTTCGGACGACGCCTGCGCTGTGCTCGTTGATGTGGCTCCTCCCCGCGCCTGCGCAAACGCGAGAGCCGCTGACTGCGGCTCACTTGCCTGTTGTTGCTGTTGCTGTTGCATGTACTGTTGTTGACCGTACATGGGCTGGTACTGCTGCTGTTCCCACGCTTCTCTCCGCCTGCGCTCTGATTCCTCCGTCGGGAGCTCCCACTGCGTCTCATTTGTGTCCATGTGCCAGAAGTAGATGTCCCCACTGCAGGTCATGTGGGGTGGGGGGACGTTTGTATGTGTGTGAGTGCGCATGTGAGTGTGCATGTTTGTTAAGTATGTGAGTGTGCATATGTTTATGTAATTGTGAGAGAGAGAGAGTGAGTGTGTGTGTGTGTGTGTGTGTGTGCCGTCGCGTCATGTTGTCGCAAGAACACAACACCACCACCACCACCACCACCACCAGTAGCAGCAGCAGCAGCAGCAGCAGCAGTAAAACGTCTTTGCATACGTTCGCACTTCGACTACAGGGTGCCATCCGTCCGGTAGGTCATCCTCCTGCAAGCGAGGAAAACAAGACGAATCAGCATGTACGTGTGAGATGTGCTCTTCAACAAAATATTGGTCATTGGTGTGTATGAAGCAAAAGGCCACGTCGGGGTTCCTGTTGCTCCGTTTGGCTTACGTATGGGACTGCGAAGCGATTGGTGTCCACGTGGCCGACCCAGCGCCGGTACATCCGTGCAAAGAACCAAGCACACATCGAGGTGAGTCGTTGAAGCGAGCGGAAGAACAGATGTCACAAAGGCAAGCAGAGAGGCAACAAGGAAGCCACGTGACGAACCAAACTTCTGGCGATGTTTCTCTGCTTTCTTCTTCGCTTTCGCACTCTATGAAGAAGAGTACAGTCCGCGCATCACAGCAATTGGGTGAGCTCGGGAACGGTGGGAAATGGAAGGTTAGGGTCATGACTGGCTCAGTTGCGAACGAGGCAGTGCAACGCCCGTGAAAAGGTACACACACACACACACACACAGACACAGACATAGAGACACACACACTTAACACAGACACAGACACAGACACACACAGGGACACAGGCACATGCACAGACACGAGACACACCTGGATGATGCCTCGCTTGGCAAGGCGGGCGGCCAGCGCTGGCGGTAACGATGCCGAGGACATGTTGTTGTGCAGAACATAAGAAGCACGTTGATTTATGGGTATCATTGATAATTTTTCGATGTTTCCCCGCCAAATTCAAACACACGTACATCGCGACAGGATAAGTTGTAGCCAATTGGGGTCGTCGTTCCATCTGGCAAGAAGCAGGCAAACGACAACAACAAAGCAGCAACCTCAACGAAGCTGTCATGCCGTGGGGAGAGGATCTGTGGGATCAGTTCCAAGCTGTGGAGAAGCACGCAGCACAAGGGAACGAGGCCACTGAGAACATCAGGAACTTCATTGCAAAGGTTGGTCAAAGGTGTTGCTGCAGCTGTGTGACTCGGCAGGTGGTGTTGACACATGAGCGAGCAACGAAGCAGGCAGGCAGTGAGTGTTCTGCTGGACCATGATGGTTGAACAGTGAGTGGGCGTGACAGCGTGTGCGTGCGTCCTCGGTGCACCATGTCAGCCCAGTCCCATGTTCCTGCACCAATTTACAAGCGCACACATGCACATATACACGTTGCTCAGGTTGCTGAGGTGGAGCGGGAGTATGCCACAAAGTTGGCCGCCGTGTGCAAGTCCTTTGGCGCCGTAGCAGAGCGCGACACCAACACCACGTTTGGTCACGCCTGGGGGGTAAGCCACCGGCAGTGGCAAATGCCGCTGAATTAATGATGCACGCACACACACTCTTGCTCTCTCTCTGTCTCTCTCTGTCTCTGTGTGTGTGTCTCTCTCTGTGTGTGTCTCTCTGTGTGTGTGTGTGTCTCTCTCTCTGTGTGTGTGTCTCTCTCTGTCTCTGTCTCTGTCTCTGTCTCTGTCTCTCTTTCTCTCTCTCTCTCTGTCTCTCTCTGTGTCTCTCTCTGTGTCTCTCTCTGTCTCTGTCTCTCTCTGTCTCTCTTTTCTCTCTCTCTGTCTCTCTCTGTCTCTCTGTCTCTCTCTCTGTCTCTCTCTCTCTCTGTCTCTTTCTCTCTCTG